TCTTTGTGTGAACATTTGGGCGGTGTTATGCAAATCTTCCCACATCGTGACGTAGACATGTGGGGGCGTTTTAGGAAGCGTTCACTTTTATAAAGAATATCTCTTTGGATTTGAGACTTTAGTCTTTGCAGCTTTACAGATCTTCTTTATGCACCAAGAGCTTGTAACACTCCAAAGAGAAAGGAACAATTGAAATCGCATCATATGACCCCTTTAAATGGCACTGTTGTTTGACTTGCAATAGTTAGAATTTTGTTGTATTTGACAACTTTTAATAAACAAATTATGTGTTAATGTGATGTGATTGCTAACACCAATGTGATTTCTATCCCTGTTATTTCACAACATGGCCCACTCAAAATCATATTAACAAGGTCAGCACACTCCTCGTGCTGATATACCACTGTCCCTTTATATTGAAATTGGAAGAGAGCTGAACTGGATGATGACACTGAATCATCAATGAACTGACTTTAGCTGAAAAATGACAGTCTTCTTGCATTATTGACAAACTATTTTCCTCTTTGACACAATCAGCATTGTATAAAGCGCTATACAAATAATGGTGACTTGAAACGGGTCTTAATCCCTTAGCATTCCTGTAAAAATTATGTGACTTTTTGCTTAGAACAAGCAAAATAAAAGCCAGTGGGGTAAGCAAAATAATCTTATTTCAAACAGAAAACAAGATTATTTAGCTTGTTTCAAGCAAAAACTCACTTAATTTTGACTTTTTTTTCTGAAAACAAGACAATAATTGTTACTTGTCAAGAAAATCCTTCTTGATTTAAGCATTTTTAGATATTTTGGCTGGAAACAAGACAAAACATCTAAGTAAGAAAAGCGTTTTTTGCAGTGTGAGAGCAAGCAAGCGTCACCCACCGGATGTTGCATGCTACTATAGCTGAAACTTGGCAGCCACAAACATGCCACGAAAGTAGAGTACTGAGCAAGAACATCACCCATATTCTTTATTTCTATTTGGTTTTTCACTTTACAACAGAACACGCGCCAGGAGAGCCAGCTGACAACATCGATTGTCCTGCATGTGTTTTCTTCCCTAGTCAGATTTGATCTCGCGAGTCTCCATTAGATCTCGTCACTGTGAAATCATTCCTACAATCAACAAGTGTGTGGTCTCGTGGTCTGCTCGAATCATCTAGTGTGCGCGTTCACAGGATTATAAGGCTAAATATCGGTTGAAACTGTCTTAATGTCTGTGGTCTCCCATGGTTTTAAAATCGGTTAAGATTTGAAAATAGTCTAGTGTGTCCCAGGCCTTTGTTAAATAAGCACTTTAAAAATACTTACTACCTGGGACCTTTAGACTGTAAAAAAAGATGGATGACAAATCTCCTCTTCCTTCACTGTATGGCCGCTGTCATCTTGCTCTGATGACGTCATTTGGAGTCTATGAATTAGTGATTCATGTTTTCGAGGTGTATTGCATTCCATTTTTCTCCAGTCAAAGACTTGTTGCTTTGTTCATCAAGGACAGCATACGCTTCTATAGCTTCCTCTTGCTGGATATTCTTACCCTGTGAACAACTTCAGTCATTTGATGCTACAGGAGAGGAAGAACTAGCAAAACTTTAAAGCATCAAAACCAACTACATGTATTCTGGATCCTATACTTTTGGTTGGTCGTATCCTGTCAGGTTCTGAGTTACAAATGACTTGCTTGTATCATTTGACCGTGGCTGCCTCTCTTCTAGTACTATCAGATTGACACTACAGACCATGACATTCTTTTGAATAGGCTGGAGAATTATGTTGGCATTTGTGGACAGGCATTACCATGGTCTATTACCCAGCTGCTACTAGGTTGTTTGTGTTAAAGGGGACATCAGATGCCCACCTTCCACAAGTTGACATGATCCTTTAGGGTCTTTATGAACTGTCTGCAACATACTTCAGTTAAAATTCCTCAATGGTCATGTAAAACAACACTCTTTTATCTGGTCAAAAACAACTCTGAACACAGTGACCCGTTTCGGTGCATGTCTCTTTAAATGAAAATTAGCTCTGCTCATCCCGCCCCTCTCTTCCAGTTGTGTATTTGGTGGTGTATTACCATCAAAAATAAAACCAATCCACTGCGTCCTCAGTTGCTCTAATGTCAGGAGAAAATAAAGACTCGTGTTCAATTTTACATCCAAATACAAAACACCTGCATTGCTTTCGAGACGTTGTCACTACAGCTGCTCGAGCGTGGAATGGCGGACAGCGTACAACTGGCTCTGATATGCTAATACGGGACAGTCCGTCAGTGCCAGTAAATGTTTTTTTATCATTGTAGGGTGGTTGTGTCCGCACACATTTACAGTACATGCAAACAGCAAGTAAAGTGAATTTTGCATTCGATGTCCACTTTAAGGATAAGGTATCGGTCCAAACACAAATTGAGAACGGAGTGCCACAGGGATCAGTCTTAAGTACTTTACTTTTCTCAGTGCATATACTTCCCTTGGAGGACATTGTGGCCACATTTACATTACATGGGTCAAGTGACCCAATTCTGATTTCTTCCTCCCATGTGACAGATCAGATATGACCCATGAATGTAGTAGTAGGAAAGAAGCACATGGATTCAGACTGGACAGTCCCATCAATGAGTTGTACGTCATT